AATTTTCGCCATACTTCGGTGTGCGGAAATCAATCTGAAAAGACACTACGTCAACCATATAATTTACATAAACTCTGATAGTCAAGCAGCACTGCTAGCGCTGAGGTCAAACTTAGTGAACTCGAAGCTAGTTGTAGACTGCGTGAACCGTTTAAACGCCCTGGGATGTAACAACAGGGTCGTTTTGAGATGGGATCCGGGTCACGAAGGTATTGTAGGCAAGGAATTTGCCGACAAGCTTGCACGGGAGGGCTCAAAGTGGACACAATTTGGAACTGAGCCATTGTGTGGAATCTCAAGAAGCCTAGCCTGATTGACCCTTGAAACTCTTTATCACAATAAATCACTTAAGACCTGGTCTGATACACCATGCTTAAAACATTCTAAAACATTGATTTTTCATTTTTTTGATTATTCACTCCATGCTCTCCTTTCCAAACTTCATTCCTTGTATCGGTTGGTCAGGGACTCCCCATATTGGTCCCACAAGGATTTGCCATGCATTATAAAAAGCTATATTAAATTGCTCAACATTCCCTCTCCAATTTATCAATCCCTTAGTAACCCACTTTACACTATCCCTTACGAGGCTCTAATTTTCAATTCAGACATTATTCTAGATATCGGAATAGATAAAAATACTATTGAAGCAAATAACAAATTAAATATGCTCCTCCTCCAAAATTGGCATGATTGGTTAACTATGTACACTGATGCTTCAAAGTTAAGTAACGATGGATTAGTAGGGTCTGCAGTGTGGATCCCTAAATACAGGATTATTTTAAATTTTAACTCTCCCCCTGACTCATCTGTATTCACAGGTGAGGCTTTGGCTATTTTAGAGGCAGTTTCATATGCAGAATCACATGGTCTGAAAAGGACCCTCATTTTCTCGGACTCCCTTAGTTGCCTTCAAAGTATTTTATCCAGTCCTTTTCACTCTAAAATTAGATACCCGCTAATTTTAAATATTAGAAAGTCTCTGTACTATTGTCATAAAAATGGGCTGAACATTGTATTGGCTTGGATCCCTAGCCACTGCGGGATTCAGGGCAATGAAATTGCTGATAGTTTAGCTAAAGATGCCACAAAATCTGGCTCTATCTCTAGACAATGCCTCTATGCACATGACCTCCTGCCAAAGGCCAACTCCGGCCTTCTGTCTTCTTGGCAAAGTTATTGGCATCAGTCTAAATTTTTAAAATGTTATCAATATTTCAAAGTCCAAATTAATATCCCATCAAAACACTGGTTCTTTCAATATCGCCACTTTAGTAAAACTACCACCTCTACTGTTTGCCGCCTACGCTTTGGTCATGCTTGTACTCCTGTACACATGGCCAAACTCAGGATTAGGGATAGCTCAATCTGTGAATGTGGCCTAGATGAAGGATATGTCAATCATCTGTTCTTTGAGTGTCCTAAACTGTCTTTCTCCCTCTACGATATCCTGCCCAATTACATCCCTCGTCCAGTAAATTTCCAATTTTTGCTAACCCTAGTGTATACTCCCTTCGTAAATATTTTATGTGCTTTTATTCGTATTAATAATATTAAACTGTAAAATTACTTAACAATTTTGGTGATGGTAGTTTAAATATGTGACGTCTTTTGTTGTAGATTGTGAACCCACTCATTACATTGAGAACTCTTATTTTAACTATTATTATCTTGTCACTTCCATGACTGACTTGACACTGGCAGAATTCTACCAAGAGAAGCCATAATTTAAAAGAAAAAGAAGAAGAACATTGATCCAGGCTTTTGATCGTAAATTCGCTTCAGAAGCCCTGGGATCGAGTAAAAATTGCGAGTTCTGACAAGAGCCCTAACTGGATACTGTTGTCTTAAAAAACACATGTCCATCCTGGGACTAGGCAACTCAAGGATGTGTCGGTTCTGTTCCACAACAGAAGAAACGTCTCTACCTATCCTAAGTAATTGCGGACCCTTGATGCGCAAACGTAAAACTCATCTGGGAAATTATGTACTCCACCCAGAAGAAGTGAAATTGCTCACGGCTAAGCAACTCCTTCTACTCATTGAAGGCATAGGGCTTAGCCGTGAACTATAGCCATAGCAGCGATCACAACAGATCTTCTAGGTCGCCGTGATACTGGTCTCTTTCCCTAGACCAGCATAGCTGCTCGCAAATAATAAAAAAAGAAACACTTCATTAATACTCACCAATAGCCTATCCATCGCTACGTAAGTAAAAGTTTTGGAACATGTTTGCCTGCACCACTGACATTGACTAAGTGCTACAGTACCATCGATGCCCTACCAGGGTAGCGCTGACGGCATTAAAATTGAGAGGCGAGAGTTTTTTTTATAGGATAGGGTGACAAACGAGCACACAGTCCGCGTGATGGTAAGTGGTTGCTGTGGCCCATAGACATCTGCATCTATCCTCGATTACGAATCAAAATGCAGATGCGTTGGCACCCGTGAGGACTAAGATGGAATGCCTCGTTTTTTTACTTTTTAGCAGCGGCTGCCTTCTTGGATGCTGCCGCGGAAGGCTTCGATTTGGGTGTTGCCGCCTTCTTCGGTTTTGGCGCCTTAGGTTTCTTTGTCGGTGGTTTGGCGCTCTTTTTCGCCTTCGAAGCGGCGCCTTTCGCCTTAGAAACCCCGCTTTGGCCACCGGCTGCGGATTTCCTTGCGGCTGCTGGCTTCTTTTTGCGGCGGCCGCCTTCTTGTCCTTGGTAGCTGCAGATGGTTTTGCCTTAGACGGTGATGCGGTCGCCGCCGATGCTGCCTTTTTACCCTTACCCGCTGCGGCGCTCTTCTTTACCTTCGCAGACGCCGAGCCAGCGGCGGACGCGCCGCTCTTGGCGCCACCGCTGCTCTTACCAGACGACGGTTTCTTAGAGGCGGACGATTTTGATTCTAGCTTAAAGGAACCGGAGGCCCCCTTGCCCTTGGTCTGTATAAGAGCACCCGATTCGACTGCGCTCTTCAGGTATTTTCTGATAAAAAGGGTCTCCGGTTCTCTACACTCACCATACGAAACACAGCAGCATTAAGCCACTATTTCACGCTGGTATTCTGTGAGAGCGTGGTCCTTCCCCGGTCGAGCCGACCCATTCGTGCTACAACTATACTTCCAATATAACTGCAGTATGGCTCTACCACGTATAATACCACAGAGTAACCCTAATACGAAAGTTTATTGTACCTTCGTTATGGATGAAATGAAAAACAACAGTGTCAGTCTTTCGAAAATCTGTAAACAATTATAGGAATACATTAGTATATATTATAAAATATTAGAATTTATGATATATACATTAGTATATATCATAAATTCTAAAATGTTTCTGTATCATAGTTTTTCGGAATAAAGCTTATTCTAATGCCTAATCCAGTGAAGAAATATGCCTAAATGCATTCAAACAGGTTCATGAGGGTCGCAGGCAGGGTTGCTATTTAGAAATTTTAAGTTGCCGTGTTTTGGGATCTGGATTGCCGTGTTTTGGAATAAAAACTAGAAAATTGCCGTGTACATTTTTATTTATTTTAAACTAACACATATATAAGTGAATATATTTTTAATATAATAATTGAAGGAAGTTTAGTATAGAAATATATATAGTTTAAATTATTTTTTGTTGAATTTATTTAATCTAAGGACAAAAATTGTCCATTCACACTTTTATTATTTTAATAGGTAATCTTCTTCAGTTGAGTATTTGATGATAAATTTTAATGCTACTTCAATGAATAGTAATGAAATATTATTGATATCGATCCGTACATCACAGTAACATTACACATCAATATAACACCATTTTCACTTAAATAGTCCCGTTACACTTTTATAGTTTATATGTTGCAAATATATACTAATCTCGTAAGAAGTGCGGTTGTGCTTGCGTGTTCAATTTTAAAGCTAATTTGTAACGTTTGAGAGTTGACTTTTTCAATAAAAAAATAACTATAATAATCTCGTGGGGAGTGCGCTTGTCACATTTTGATTATCAGCATAGACTTAGATTATACTTACGCCAATATCTATATATAAACACTCACGCCTGTCACCCAGAGGGGTAGCCAGAGACTACAGACATCCATTTAGCATGATCCTGAATATATTTTAAGTCTATGATTAAGTATAACTACGATTTTTATGAAATATTAAGTACTCGAGCACCTCATCGGTAAAGTTCTCGATTATTATTTATGGTATTATTTTAAATGATTATAATAGTAAGAAAGGATATATCACAATAAAAATACTTAAATAATATGGAATGTAATTCCATCTTTTTGTAAGTTTAAAGTATTAGACTTCTTTTTGCACACGTTAACCGCACAGACTGACTATTTTAAAGAGCACCTACAACGGCGGAAATGATTCTTGCAATGGCAACAACATACAATGTACTCTGTGAATGACGAAATCGATTCCACAAACAGTTTTTATAAATGTCCAAGATATTTAAATTCAATATACCTGTGCAGAGAGGAATAATCATGCGTGGCGAGTCCTCCACCTTTTTGTTAGTTACTTCAGTTCTAGTTTATCTACATACAGTAATCTATGCATCAGTTTTTGTCCGGTGGCAATGGCAACTTGGCAACCCTATGGATGATGGATTGGGAATGGGATGGATAGATGACATTGGATGACATGACAGCCAATCAGCCAAACAAAAATTGCGGCGTGGATTTATGGTTAAATTTTGCGAACCAAATACTGTTGATTGGCATACATTCTATTGTTACTTTCCAACATATTGTGTACTTTAATAGTAGTTTTAACATTAAAACGTATAATTAATATATCTTAATATAATGACTAGTATTTCAAAAGTTTTAAAGCAAAGTTTGTGCATATCATTGTCCTTAGCGCCTAACTGTAGTTCTATCGTTCACACTAATTTATAGCAGTTGTTTAGAATTTGGAAATGGTGTTTGCTATATTTGCTTTACACTTAGTAAAAGAAAACTGTATTTAGTTGTGTAAATATTAAACATTGAAATAATTCATTATCATTATGTATCCGACGCCGACGCGGCATCCGGCTGCCGCGGTAAGGGTTTGTGTTATTTTTTATATTTTTGGAGCTTGTCTTTATAACATAAATATACATTATTAACAGAAGAAGCTTTTAATAATAATGATTTCTCAAAGACACTTTTATTGTGTTTTTTTTTTTCTATTAAAGGGGCCACAACCCGCGGCAGGACCTATAAAATTCACTGTAGCAGATACATTAGAGCGAATAAAGGAAGAATTTAACTTTTTACAAGCCCAATATCATTCGTAAGTTTATTTTATAGGACTTAATATTTCTTACTTAATTAATAATTCTGACTTAATTCAAATTTATTTCTTACAGTTTGAAATTAGAATGTGAGAAATTGGCCAGTGAGAAAACGGAAATGCAAAGGCATTATGTCATGGTATAATATTTTTCTAACTCATATTCACTAAACAATATGATCAGATGAACTAATGTTTTACTTGTTTATTTGCAGTATTATGAAATGTCATATGGACTGAATGTTGAAATGCATAAACAGGTAGATTCCTTCCTATATTTACAAATGTAGTGTTCAACTTTTGTAATTTGAGGTGTTCATTGAGGGTTTTAATCCCAAAACTTAGAGGTCTGATCTAACTTGAGAAGTGGTTCCAGGTCTTCTTTTCAAACCCAACACAAGTCTGTGTCTTTGATACTGTACCTAGTAGGTTAAAAACAAGGTGTGTGTGTTTCAGTGTTTGCATTTATACAGTTAAGGCACATGATATCCCTTTCAAAACTTATAAAAGAAGGCACAATTTCATTATGAAAAAAATGCATAAATAATGGCAAGTAGATACTTAAACCAACTGCTGCTACTGTAGTGGCGGTGTAAATCTTGTAGTGGTATTACATATAAGAACATCAACTATTGTATATTGTTGTGTTGTTATATTGTGATGTCGTAAACAATGACAGAGGGTAACTTAAACTGAATATAGCAGGATCATCTTAACTCACAATAATAAAAAACTGTGGTTGCCATCCCGCTTACCAATTATGGCAACTATGACAAAATCTCATCTGTAGGGGAGGCCTTTGTTCAGCAGTGGGCTTTCGCCATGGAAATATTAAAATCAACACCAAGTATTGTAATAACTTGCCCAATCGAATTTATTAATTGTATAAGATGAAAAGAAACTTAAGAAGTAAAACTATTGAAGTGAGGAGAGATAATAAGAAATAATTTACTATGGTAATTATTTGAAGCTGGGCTGAAAAAAATAATTTAAACTTTTTTGTACATAGACGGAGATTGCAAAAAGGCTAAGTGCTATTATAGGACAAGTGCTGCCATTCCTGGCTCAGGAGCATCAGCAACAGGTCGCCTCAGCTGTGGAACGAGCAAAGCAGGTCACTATGTCTGAACTTAATGCTATTATTGGGGTAAGTTGACACAAAATTTAATAAACAAGTGGGTTTCTCTTTTCCAAGATCCTGATTAATCATCTTGTTGTATAAAACAGGAATTTAAACTTTGTGTAAATATTTCCTGATTTTGCATTTGATTATATTGTAAGATCTATTTTAAGCCTTCACTCCAATTATTGGCAGTCTGTGAATATGATCATCATAAAATGATATTAAAATAATATACTAAAAAAATTACTTGTCTATATGCTTACATTTTCTATATAAACTTGTGCCAATGCCATTTTAATATACTTTATAGTACCTTAAATTGACACATGAAGATGACTGCATGAATTAGTAATCAGTGTAGTTGGCAATTACACTTTGACAACTTGGTTCCAATGTCAACTGGAGCCAACATATGTGTAAAAATATAAGAAAGAACAAGAAAAGATAAAAAAATGTTTTGTTTTAAGTGTAGGTGTGCTGTAATTATCCCTGTGTCTCTAACACAGCATCCTAATGTAACTTTTGATCTTATTGCATAAGCATTAGTATCTGGTATGGCTAAGTAAAGATGAGTAGGTGTCCCTTTGTGGTGTGTGTATGTGTTTGTGGCATTATGAGCCGTGGTAATTCAGATGGTTAGCACTCGCTGCAAATTAATTTTTCTCAGTGTGGTAGTAATCCAGGTTCAATTCCCGCCGGCACCAATGAAATTTTAAATTGCAATTTTAAGTGCTGATTAACCACATGCTGCTCAGCAGTTAGAAATAAGAAAAAAAATCGTTTCAAAGATGTTTGAATTTTGCCAACACGCATTGAGACTGTGCAGTGGACACTTTGTTATGCCTTAAAACCTCAGAAATTAGGAGAGGCCTGTACCCAGCAGTGGGACGAAATAAAAATAGAAACTTTTTTATTCAATGTAGATTATAAACAATACTTATTGAAAGTCAATTTTTTCATTTACCACTGGTTCGCAAAAAAAACCTCTGTTCAGGGAAGAACCAGCAAGAAACCCAGTGGGACGATTTTTTTAAAAATAATAGCTTACAATCATGTTTACAATTAACAACACAAGACAAATTAGAAATAGCTTGGTAGCTATTACCCTTCCCAGGGGTTATTATCATCCATAAATTCCTTAATATTATAATAACCCTTTTTATACAAACTTAGTTTAATAAAATTTTTGAACTTTGCGTATGACAAATTTTGTTTATTCGAATATAGATTGTAACTTTTGTGGCATTATTATATTCTCTGTACAGTTGATAGCTTCAAATTATTTGAAAGTTTTTGCAGTAGTTGTAAATCAGCCAGAAGAACATTAATATGCCATATAATAAATTAATCCATACATTAGTCCAGTCATTTTCCTAATGCTGAGAATCATTACATTATGCATGCAAGTACTGGATACTCTTCATTTGACCTTATCTTCAGGGACATATTGCAGTCCATGCATATAGAATTCTAGGCTTTTTCATTTGATACTTCCATTTAGTTGTGAGTCAGCCTTGAGCTGTTTTGTCCTCCATTTTTTTTTAAATATTCCCATCCAAAATATAAAACTTGTATAAATAAACAGTCAATTAGTGTACACCATTATATAACAAAAATAATCTTATCATTTTTATTGCTTGCTACAGTTATATTGCACAATAATTTTAATAGGAAGTTAATTTATAGTGTTTTTTACACTTTTCTAAGTAAATGTAAGATGTTTTATCTTCTTGGTTAATTAAAAAAATAGCTTGGGCCAATCATTGGAGTTTAGCTTACATTAAATGTTTTCATGATTCATATAATTCAGCGTTGTTTTGTTAATTGTTGTCCGCAGCAACAACAACAACAGGGTCTACAGCAACTTCTAGTAAGTTTAGAATATTAATCGAGCTTGTTGTACTTTATTTTTGTGATTAACTCCTTGTTTAGTTCTTTTTGTTATCAATTTTATTTTTTTCTTAGAATTAAAAGCCTGTGCATTTTTGAACATTTTGATAAACAGCAAAGTATAATATGAGATTATAACATACATAATTTACATAATTTTTTTTAGTATATCATACATAATATATGCTCTAAAAAAGCATTCTCTGCGTTAAAGCCTTAGGTTTATTGATTTGGGTTTTAATAGTAAATACCATAGAATACTATAATACATACATGATAGAACGGGGGTGTGGGCGGAGCCCGTGTAGCCACTAAAATGCCACAAGACGTCAATTCATATGCATAAAATGTCAACACGGGATGTGTTTTGACGTTACAACCGTTTCCAAATTTCGCATGCAAATTATTTAGAAAATGCCAAATTGCACACTATTTACAAATAAATATGTATTAAAATCCGTCTGTCAACACAGCGAATCGGGTTTGTAGTAGTGATGATTAACTGATAATACGACGTAATTGCTTGTATGTTTGCTCCCGGCGACGCCGAACCTCGGTACAAAATAAGGTTGACAGCCATTCTATTGTGTATTATAGTATTCTATGGTAAATACTACTGCTTTGCAAAAAAAAAAAAACAAGAAAGAAACCCGACAGATGTTGTTTAATACAAAAAAGCCAAAGTACGGTTACACCTAGGTTTAGCCAGCTACAACTACGTGTAGTCGAATGTGGTTAGTTAAACTTAGGTGTATTCGATTTATTCTAATGCCTGGGTTTTCTTTTTAATGTCCGCGACTTTATCTATCCTAACCTTCTGTCGCTGATATAACTTGATAGGTGCATTTATTTTTGCTCCGTGTATCCGGCTAAACTTAGTTATACCATGGTTATACCCATATTTCGGCACTTAGCCGTAATATACATAGCTAATATTACATTTTCGTAAATATATTTTGGACTGAATTCATTATATTTCTTTTAAATTTTCTATTAGACTTCCTTTACAAATCATGTATTGTTCCTATGGCAGTCTTATATATCCTAAAGCAAATATAGCTCCATCAGTCGCGTTTTCCCAAAGCGAAATACCACACGATCCGACGCTATAAAAATGCCTAAAATAAACAACAGAAATAACTTAAGCATTAGTTACTATGAACAAAGTACGCAAAAATTGCTAATTTATAAATAACTATTGTTCATGAGACTTGGTAGGATTTATTTATAGTGCGCGATCAAATTGAATTAGATTTCCACCCCACGGGACTAATAAAGTAAATTTACTGCCTTATACAACCTTTATACGTTTCGAAGCTGAGCATAGACCTCTATTTTCTGAGAGGATTCAAGTAAGGTAAGATATGTAAATGCCCATCACGTTGCCCCAATGCGTTTTGGCGGACATCACATGTTTTCGAAATATTTTTTTTATTTCTCGGACGTGCAGGTTTCGTCATAATGTTCTCTTTCACTGAGCATAGGGTTAATAAAACTGATAAAATGTGATTAAAGTGTTAATTCACTACGTGCACGGCGTTGGAGGGGTATGTCATGATGAAACACGTATTGGGGCGGCAGGGCGGACTTTTCCTTCCGTCTCAGACATAAGAGGCCTGTGCCCAGCTCAGCTGTGGGATATACATATGTAGGCTGTTACTTTGCCTTCTATAATATTTACAACATCTCAATAGCTTGCGGTAATGTCAAGTTAGCCTTGAACCCGTTATATTATAGCTTTTTTTAGTTTTCACAGCACATCTAACTATCCAATGATCTATAAATTACCGTTTCACTACATTTTTAATTAAACTAAAGAGTACGCTCAAAAATCTTTATTTTAACAAAAATTTAAACTTATTTAAATATCTGTTTTATAAATATAAAATTTTAAATTGCGTAACATAAGTTTTCGTACACAGTTGTTTCAAGTATCAGCAAACTGTTCAAACAATGAACTTGGCTTGAATTCTCTTTGTTTATCATTTTATTTCACTGTTGTAATGAGTTGTACGTGAAGCACCTGTGCTTTGTTAAAATTTTCACACTAAAATCGATGTTAATGTAAGCGGTATTAATTACGTTTCTCCCTGAGTGAATATTTTATTATCTTCGATGTAACAACTTTACGAACATTGAGAGTAAGAACATTTTTTAAATTTACGTTCGTAATAAAATAAATAATAAAGGTCAATATTTTAGCTTTAAGTATTCATTTAAATGTCCTGCAGTCCTTTGCAGCAACCTGATTTTAAATTGTTTCTGATATTTTGTTAAAGATAATAAAATGGAAAAGGAATTTACATCAGAATCTAGTAAATGACTATTACCAAGGTTTGTTGTAAAAATCGCAGTGGTAACGTTAGTCAATTTGCATTAGCACAACTCGCAAATTATCTAGGGTGCGCCGGTCATAGATAGGGCTAAAAGTAACTAGCCCTAGAGGTATAGTTGAAATTTAGTATATATAGTTGAAAGTTAATTGGCACAGTTTAATTGTAATACAAGCTTATTGCAATACAGCAAAAGAGAAAAATAATATCATCTCGTCACGTGTTCGTAGACCTATATAAAGCGATACAGGAAATATGTGAACCTACTCCTAATAGAGGTTGTATTTGTCTGATTTTACAGTCTATACCTCCATAGGTGTCTCGTTTGGCAGGCGGCTTGGCAACCACAGTTCATTATCTCTGAGTTGTTACTAGGAACATGCTGCTACTTATCTCCTGGTTTCTTTCCCTATATTTGTAATATTAAAAAAAACATAATAAAAAATCTAATTACTTAGTTATCATACAGTCCTACTCCTCGTGGAGTCGTGCACCTCAGGAAAGGAAATCCAGCTATGAATGTACAGGAGCGACGATATTCATTAAAAAGTCTAAACAAATCTCAACAGCACTTAGTCTTTATATAACATAGCTTCATATTGATGTGGAATATGCTGTACCCCGCATCTTTATCTGAAACACAATCATTTATAGCCTAATTAAAAGCATTTTGCTCAATAAATGAAATATTAACCCAGAAGATGCTGCTACTTATCTCCTAGTTTGATCCCGTCTGTTCCCGCTTACGGTATCGTGATACGATGATATGGGGTAGTGCATATTCTTACACCGCCACTACACGGCTGGTGGAATTATTTCTATAAATTTATTACACTAAATACGATGATGTACATGACCTCATTCACGAATAAAATCTCACGCGAAATTTCGAATCGCTATTTACGTATTTATTACGTGTGTTATCTAGTTATATATATTATTCGAAATTGGTCAATTAATATCAATTTTTATTCTTATACAGATATGGCACAGCTATTAAGAAGCATCTTTCGCAATATAAATAGTTTAGTATCTGACCGGGCCAGATCAGAACAATGTAATTGTAATTTTACTGCCTTGAAAATAACGTTACGCAGCTGACACTTAAATTTTGAAATGAACCCAGTGGATTGTAGATAAAAAAGTGTAGACTCACTGACATTGATAATCGGTGAAGCTAACGGAAGACTGCGGGAGTGTCAAAATGAAAGTGATGCAATGATTACATAGTATGCAAATTATGAGATAGCCATACCGAGCAAGCGCTCGTAAAAAAACTAAGTAAGCGCCAAACAACATTTTTACTTATTTTAACAAAACTTCGTTATGGATTAAAAAACTGGTTTATGAGAACTTAGATATGATTATTTACTATGCCTTAAAAATAATTCCAAAAAGAGTATTGTGGTGTCATCGAGTAATGTAAATAATTAAGAGTCAACTTTGCAACTTTTTTCTATCGAGAAAATTACATAATATCGTGTTTTCCTTTTATGCAACCCAAGGTCATATAGTCAAAAATCATATAGGTACCAAAATTTTGGTTTGTAATCTATAAAACTTAAAAAAATATGTTAAATAGAAAAACCACAAAATTTTGAGGTATCACCTTAACGCAACACAACAGCCTAAAACAACCACTGCGCCGCCGCGCCGATCGTCAGCTGTACAATATTTTAATGATTACTTTAGTACATACAGCTGAAGGGTCAGCCGTATATATTATATTTCCTAATTTAATATCTTTGACTGGTCTTTAGTGTAAATGCACGTATCGTACTATAGGTCCCGCCCAGACGCTCTAGTCATCGACGCCTGTAATAATTAAAATCAATGCCACGAAAATGCACAGGCCTGTTTAATTTAATTATTTGTTGTCGTCGTAAATAAAAAAGTAACTAATTGAGTCCGCTTTCTACAAAATTAATTTCTCATTGACTCACATTTTCACATTTGTTCACACATTTTTTATTGTTTAGTTCTGCACATGCATGCTTTCCTAGTTATACCTATTGGTATACTGGTGTTCACTATTTCATTTGGTGTTTTTAGTAGGAGATTTGATACGGTACATAAATAATGAAGAATAATAACGAAAATAATAAGAAAAATTGCATCAATAACGCCTTTCATAAAATATATTTTCCATCTGGCAGGAATGGATCTAGAGGGAGCGTCATAAGGTATATGAGTTAAGACCCCAAAACAACTAAATATTTTTACCACGTTTTTATTAGGTCACTTTCTTGTTTGTCTGTCTGTCTGTCGCTCAAACTTCGAGCACTTCCTGATGAGATAGAGGTTTGACGTTTTGAACATAGCTCGGAATCGAATAATTAATTTAATCGGATATTGAATTTCTTTTTTACAAAATTAAATAGAAATCACTTGTTCAAAGCACAATTTTACTTCTTACTCTAGATCCGCGTCTGCCACCTAGTGTTCATTAAATAAAATATACAACAGCATTTTCATAACCGGGTAAGTGCACTACGCATATATAGGAGGGGAAGGATTTGAATAATAAAAACGAATTACATAATATAACTTAGCACAAAGGTATACCGCCAGTGCTTTATAATTAAGATGCTTTGTCACCCTTGAGATCTAAGATGGAATGCCTTGTAAGAAAATAAAAACAATAAAATCTTTCATTAATTTTATCTACAACACAATTACATTTTATGATACCAATGGCCGAATACGCAAACGCTACTCAATTTTAAGTTGGACTTACTCTGTGGCAACCCCAGTGATAAGTTGTAAAATAATAGCTCCCAACTATTTAACAAAATTAAATATTGTAAATTGATAATATCCAACTCAATTTCTAATTACAGTTGTTAAATAAGACTTAATTGTGTTTGTAAAATAAGTAAAAGTCATAAGTATTTTAATTAAATAGTGTTTTGTGTTTCAACTAAAAGTGATAGCTGTAATGTACAACAAGTTTGAACTTACTGTAAGTTATTGTAATTCTTGTTATCCCTTTAATATTTTAAGATTTACCTTTTTTTTAAAGTCGTATCACAGTCACTTTGACTTAAAGTGATAGAGACACCACGATACTTAACAGCGCCTTTAATTGAGTAGCGTTTGAGTATTTGGTCACTAATACGGTAAAACTGACAAAAATGTACCAACATACAAGAGAGGCGTGCATTTTTAAATAAGATGACCTCTACTTCTGCAGCGTGACTCTACCGCGTATAATGTAATATACATAATATTTCTTTGGTTTGTGGCAACTTTTTTTTTTCATAAAATCAAGTACCTACCTATATCGTGTAATTGTGATTTAGCGCATAGCTATTTCATTATTTCGTGATTTATTAAAGTAATATGTTTTTTGCTTTTTGTATTTTTATGCAATGCATAGACGCAATTGTGACTCATTTTATTTGTTGCTTTTATATACGAATAGTTATATAATATATTCTATTATTAATACGCGGTAGCTTAAATCATTGACGTTGAAAAGTGTGTAATTAAAGATCTGTTCTAACTAAATAATCTATGAACTTGTTCGAATTTGATTGGTGTCAATAAGATATTTGCATGAATGTCAATTGAAATCCTTTTTTCAAACCGACAAAATAATTTTCCAATAGAAATTGTATGGGCATACGAGAAAACGATGTAGTAGTTTGTTATAATCACATAAATATTAAATTTGTATATTTTTGAATTGTAAAACTGAAATTTTACTAAAAACTAAAAATTCAACAAGTTTTGTGTAAATTTTAAGCTACTACTCTATAAGATAAACCAAACTCTACACTTCTCATAATATGAATACAATTTTTTTAAATAAAATATTTACAGTAAACTACAATCACATCAATCTTAGTTTATCCCGTGGTTGTCCTATCATTATCATGTTTATAAAGAATCCACTATTTGGCATAGATCCTTCCAGGCTGGAAGGCTGTGCTCTGAATGCTAACGCTTAGCAGAGAGATTAACGAAAACAATACAAAATCTTTCATCCTAGATTTTGATTAACGGTATTTGTACTTTTGGATCAAAAAGTACTAGTAAAACCGTTTTTTTCCAAACAAATTACAAGAACCAGTAGTTACAGTAAAATTTATTGAATATAGGATCCGAGCCCTTGTCGACTATTTCTTAATCTAATGGTATTTGTATTTTAATAGTCTATTTATTTTTAACCGACTCCAAAAAGAGAAGGTCATCAATTGGACTCTTTTATATTTCAAATGTTATGTAACGCAATTACTTCGATATTTGTGAAATTTTCACAGATATCACATAAATATCAACCAATTTGAATTTTGTTTAAAGTTGGTTTTTTTAATACAATTAAGTACAAATGTTTATTGCTTTAACTTCTTTTGAGTTTTCCTTATTTCTTTTTTCCTTATCAGACATGTTCTTGACGCTGGATGGAATGTATTATTCAGTTCCGTAAATGTTATGTTAAAGAGTTAATTAACGAGATACGTTACGGTTACGTTTTAATCGTAAATTTATGCGTTATTACATTTAATTAACGAACTATAACGATCGCTGCTTTAATAATCCTACTGTACCGTATAGTTGATTGGCGTCGGAGTGCACTAGTGATGTGAATTGTTGTGGTCAGCAACAGATCCATGCGTCGGCCGGGCTGCCGCACGGCGTGGGCGGCGCTGGCGCACTGCTGGGCGCCGGCGGGCTGCTGTTCGCGCCGGGCGCTGGGCCGCCACCACCGCCACACCTGCCTCCGCCCGCGCATAAGGTCAACAATCATATAATAATAACTATGTCCTGCGGACCGAATTTCAGTCTGAATTTTCGCAGGACAGGATTATATGTGAGTGGTATGCACAAAACACAGTTGCACTCTCTATTCCCTCACTCTCATAGTCCCCATGAGACGGTAAAAGGACACGAAAGGAGAGAGATCAGGCGCAGGACCGACAGTTTTACGTGCTTTCCGAGGCAAGGGGGTGAAACACGGCCGCATTCCTAACTCCGAGCAACTACTAAAAATTTCTTAACGGGAAAACTTAATTGATTTTTTTGGCCCGACTCAGGTTTGAATCCGGGACCTCATGATCAGACCACCACTAGACCAACTAGGCAGTCAACTTAAATTATGGAAATAATTCTATAATATGCAATATAAAGGGAAATGAGGTAATTGATTAAAGCCACACTGATTTACAACCACTGCGGTGCCGGAGGACTCACACACAGGCGCGTGCACACACACACAGTAAATTCTTCGAATTTGCAAATAAGTTTTTATATTTATTAAATAACTGGTACTCCCACACTAAGAATTTCTGTTGTATCTTTTTGTAGATATATAAATAGCACAAGGTCAAATAGCCAGACCAAAAACAAATTAAACAAATATTTTTACTATTAATATATAGCCATTCCTGTACAGTGCCGTCGTTATCAATCATTTCAGCTCATCTCTAAAAGACCTCCATAGCCTCCGACAGATGGTTAGTATGATTAAAGTGTTACGAGCTTAGGGTTCGTGACAATAAACACTGCCGATTGAATTACCAAAATAAACACTTTAATTACTGATCACCAATTAAAACTTAAATCACTACTAATTATTCACACTTAACACTTTAGCTCACTTTATTTCATTCCGAAGCTTCGCTTGTATCGCCAATTTAATACTGCCCTGATCGCGGCTTTCAAGGGCTTTTTATAGGCCTTTTCCACCGTAACACCCCACCGTAACCGTCGTGGGGCTTTCTAGAAAGCTTAGTTCTTCTATTCGATACTAGATAGCGATGTTGGTGGAAAGTTCATGCATGGCATTTTCTAGAAAGCTCTCGCTCTGTTCCCCGACACTAGATGGCGCTAGTGCCAGGTACCAGACATCAACTTAGGCGCGCAACAATAGTTTACTATTTTTGTAAGATAAAATACCCAGACCGGCGATGCATCTGATATTGCGATTGCATATCCAGTTTCCGGTTGTGGCGAGGCAATTACACCCTATATTAGGTGAAGCCTATTAATTTCAATTAACTGTTATTTAAGGGCTGATAAGGAAAATATGCACTATTAACGGATGGGTAATTTAAAATTATTAGTTATTTCATTGTATGTACTAGAATAGAATTTAATACTACAACAATGTACAGAGCTGTTAAAAATCAGCCAGGGCGGTTTACCGTCTAGAGCTGTATCACTGTTAACATCTGACCAGAAAGTAAGATTGTATTCGAGCACTGGATTAAATTAGTCTCAACAAAAAACTTAAGCTTTATAGACTTAACATTTTTATAAATCTCAACTGGGACAATTAATTTCTGCAGGTGGAACTGCCTCCCCCTACGGATATCAAGCCGCCGGTGCATCCCGGGGGTCCGGCACCGCCCCCTTTATTACCAGGACAGCCACCTCCCCGAGAAGACGACAGGATGGTCGCTTCTAGAGTAATGCAGCAAGTAAGTTGGTATAATTTAGTTTTAGTTTTCTCTTTAGAATACCTGCCTTACCCATTGTTGTGGTGGTACCGTAAGTGAATCCATTGCTACATTTCGTCCTGTTGGTGTAATAAATGCACCCACACCCGCGCTAGGCGGGAGCGTTGATGAACGAAATGCCGATATCCCCGCACTACTAATGTTTTTTTATAGCATTGGTTGACAAATGAGCACACAGTCCACCTGATAGTAAGTGTATGCTGTGGCCCATAGACATCCACATTATTCCTCAATTAAGAATCAAAATGCAAATGTGTTGTCACCTCTGAGGACTAAGATGGAATGCCTTGATTCCAGTAAAAAGGGCCTCCGGTTCTCTACACTCACCATACGAAAAACTGGATCATTTATCTGGATCAGTTATTCTGTAAGAGCGTGGTCCTAACTCGGTCGAGCCGACTCATTCGTGCAACAACAATATAGCTGCAGTGTGGCTCTAACACGCTCTAAAAGAACGAATGTTGCTCTCATTCTAGTTTCATTAGTTTTGGGTTCGTTTTTATTTGATTGCACCTGTAAATCCCCACAAACTTATTATCTTCACACCAGGAATTTCTCCTGAATCCGCCTGTATCATATGCAGTTAAGACTGAAAATAAAAGAAAAGGATATTGTACTTATATTTTTCCTTAAACTTAAAAATCTTAAACATCAAATAAAGAAATGCAAATAATTGATTAAAGAAGTGTGACAAACGAGCACAGGAAATAAGTAAATGCTGTGACCCATAAACACAATCATCTATCCTCAATTAAGAATCAATATGCAAAAGCGTCTCAAAAGATGTAATACCAGTAATTAGGGTTGCCTGTTTTCTACGCTCACCAAACGAAACACAGCAGCATTAAGCAGCTATTTTGTGTTGATTACGTTGGTATTTTGTGAGAGTCGTGGTCCTTTCGCAGTTGAGCTAATTCATTCACGCTGCAGCCATAATGCACAATTTTGACAATCGTGATTTAAAAAAATAATTCCTTGTTCAGCAGCGTCGTTCCGTGTCCCCGCACGAACGCGAGCAGAAGTACCGCGCTCGCTCGCCCAACGAGCCGGAGCCACTCGACGCCAAGCGACGCAAGGAGGAGAAGGTACTCGCTCATGTGAGTCTGTGTAGTGTATGTGTCGCTTCCCTGGCTCGCTTCGCTTGCTTGTCCCCCCCCCCCCCCAGCCTCGCTTCGTTATCTTGTGCTTATGCTGCGTTTGCTTCTATAATGCAAAAATACTTAAGCGAATTTGAAGATGCTTTTAAATCGCGTGCTATCTCTATCACTTTAAGTCAAAGTGACTGCGACACCATGAGATTTAACATCTTAAAATTGAGTATCTTTTGAGTATTTGGCCATAAGGCTGGTATTCCTAGAAAATCTTGAGTTTAAATTCATATTCTATACTGTCAAAGTTTGAGTCTAGGCCATGCTACTTACACAAATTTTGACATTGTAAAGTTTGAGCTTTATTTCAAAGGGCTAAGGCTGGTATTCAGAGACAATTTCGAGTTTGAACTCAGATTCCATAATGCCAAAATTTCAGTCTAGTCCATGTACTCTACAAATTTTGACATTGTGTTTGAGTTTTAACTCGAGATTGTCTCGGAGACATTCCGCCACTTAGGGCGGTATTCGGTCTACCGCCTTAAGTGTCGGCACGAGTTTTAATGCTGAAAAATCTTTGTGGGGCTAATTTATGTGGATTGATTTTCTTTACTAATTTCACGATTCATTTACCAAAACCATCAGTGCAGCCCATTATAAGCCTACTGCTGAATGTAGGCCTCCCTCAAGAAATCTCACAAAGCACATTCCTTAGTCACCTTTATCCATAGACTTTCTGTGTTACACAATTAAATACTTCGGAATTCTATGGTACCTGTATCGATCACTGAAAACATATCGAACAATGTAAAAATTGTACAATAGGATTTATATTGTGTTCTACTTTGTATTAAACATATAGGTGTGTGAATTTGAAAGAAGGAAACATCCTTATTTGTAGCTATGTATATATATATATATATATATATATATATATATATATATATATATAATTGCATCACATGTATATATACTATATCATCATCAATGTAGCAGTAAATAGACATTGGAATCATCATTATGCTGTTGTGTAATAAGCACATTGCTGATATTCTGCCGGTGTGCTTATAAAGAATTCATAGGCAGTCGTTAAATATGTTTTTCTATGACACATTATAAATAAAAGAGAAAATAAAGTAAGGAATAAAATATAAAATGATAATTGTACAATAATAAAATACACCTTATAATTTGAATAAGCAACAAAGATATACACTTCTTAAAAGCAACATCCAACAAAGTCTTATTTATACCCGCACTAAAAATTGTTATTACTAAATTTATATAGTTATTGTTCTCATGTAAGTGACGATTGTCTTATTGAGAAATAAAGATCTTTATACCGAAAATACGATGTATATAACTAAACACCCTATAAACTTAGCTAAAATGTAAATGCTTTACATAATATTTCTTAAAGCACTAATCACTTTAATAGCATTAATTGTAAATAAAAAATAAACTAACTTTATCATTTTATCATTACCATATTACATAGAGTTATATGAGATCTAAGATCAACTAGGATCTAATTCCACATTGTGTTTTACTAATAGTGTTTGTCCCGCATACCATCGCTAGGAGATAATAAAATATATTTAAAATTTTATTTTACCACTAATAATTTCAATCCATATAGTTATCAATAAATGTACAAACTAATATAATCAAGTAGCAGTTAGTTAATCTAATTATAGCTTGTAAATGCTTATAATGAGAAACGTAATTCGCTTCTACCATCGCTGTTACAAATTACATTGCTAATTTTGAATGTTGAACACAAGTTACAGATCCTAATTACTGACATACACATTATACTTCTAGGATAGTGACGCCGAAAAGAGCGATCAGGACTTAGTTGTCGATGTTGCTAATGAGGTAAGTGAATAAGGGGACGTTTAATAATGTATTATCCCTAGAGATTCAGTTATGTGCCAGCCCGAAGGAACCATCCGGTTTAACAATTTTTTCAGTTATTGCGGGAGTCATGTGTTTAGTGGGAGTTTAAATTTAAAATTGTGTTTTATCGATTAAAACTACTTTTTCAGATTTTATCGCGTTTATTTTACTTTTAATTACTTTTATTTTTAATTCCCGACGTTTCGGGCGCCATTCCAGCGTCGTTCCAGCACCCATGGTCACGGGGGGCTGAGATGACTGACGTCCCGATGTCATTGTTAAACCCTGAGTACCTTCAGCTTTTTTAATTATTATGTATGGTCCGATCTATGCAAAATGAACTGACTATGTCCTGAGGTCTTGCAGTGGTATGGTTGGGTTTAGTTTTAATTTTATTGATTATAGGATGCCAAGCAGGTGGTAGTACCCAGCCTCCTTCTCTATTGAAATTAGGATGTTTTTTATTTTCAATAGCCTCACGTATCATCCTTGGTAGGAATCGGTGTTCTTTCGCGAGGATTTGTGGTCTATCAAATCTGATGTAATGGTTCGGGCAGTCTAGGATATGATCGCAAACTGCAGACTTCCCGGAACGTTGATGCTTCACATGACGGGAACACGGGAATTAAAAATGAAAGTAATTAAAAGTAAAATAAACGCGATAAAATCCGTAAAAGTAGTTTTAATCGATGTGTAGTGTTCGCGTAAATATAAGAAATCATTATTGTGTTTTATATTAATTTTTATCTTCCCGCTATGAAAATCAGTGTTTATCGAAAAATCGGGGTGTTATTGGCTTCACGCCGTTTTCGAGTACGATTTTCGAAAACCGGGATTTTCGAAAATGAATTCTCATCAGAACTTCACGTTTTGAGGACCTAGGAAGCTAGCTATACTGACTGTTTCTACGAGGATGTCATTTCATATGTATATGTATGTGTGCGTGCGTGCGTACGTGCTGCGTGTGTATGTAAACTCCTTATATCTTTTGAACATGTTGAGCGATCGAAACGCGGTTCACGGCATTCGAAAGAGTTCTATTACCATTACGAATATACGAAATACGAATTTGAATCAATTCGGCTCGGTAGATTTCGAGAAATATCAAATATTACATTTTCAAAAAAAAAATGTTCTTTTGAGATAACTTTTAAATGTATTGTAACGGTTTACTTTGACTTTTTGAATGCGTACAGCAAAGGAGTGGAATAATTTGCCGGCGTCTATCTTTCCTTCCGAATACAATCCGGGCATCTTCAAGGCAAGAGTGAATAGGCATTTGTTACGCTCAGACAGTGCGATTCACCATCTAAGGCTGCATCACCACTTACCACCAGGTGGGGTTGTGGTCAAGCACTGGCTTATAAAAAGTAAAAAAAATAAATATCGATCGATTCTAAAATCGAATCAGCTCTTAACCTCATAATAGGTGAAATTTGGAGCGCTTTGCATTTGAAATTAGCAAGAAACAGGGATGGCCTGTAGGGTCAACCGTATTTTTTTAGACCACTATCGTTGGTTCATGCATTTATTACATATATCTAGTACACTGCTGAACACAGTAAGCCTCGCCCATAGATTTACTCATAGAGGGGATTTTGTCGAGGGGGGAGTCGCAAGCAGGTTAGCTACTTCAATACTTTATTATTTTCAGTTGTTATTAGTTAGAAGCGGCTGCCCATTTCCTCTTTCAGTTTGACTTTATCGCCTCTTAGGTCACTAACAGAATGATATGGGATAGTACAGGGTTTCCCAAAGCGTGCTCTGCAGCGCCCTGGTGTGGTGTGGTAACTTTTGTGCCTATCACTCAGTATCGTTGTACCCTATTTCGACTGGCTAGTCCGCCAAAACAAAATTAATATACCCTAAAGTTCTGGAACCCATAGGATATTTTCACGCCACCACACACACAGTAAAAACAATATCTATTTGATCATTAGTAAGCATATCTAGGTTTTCTGTTATGAATACATCACTTTAATGAGTAAAATTACATCAGTTGTTGACATTTTGTAAAATAATTAAAGCCGACCGGACAAAGCGCGGTGACTATGTAGTTAATTGTAGAGGTAAGGAGTATAGACTGTGTATTAAAAAGTGTCCGTAGAAAACCGTTAAACAAGGGTGGCGCCACTATAGCTATGGGGTAAATTTTAAAGAACGCGCCGAAAAATATTAGTGGGATAGACAATTTCTTCGAGGTTGTATTTACTAAATAAAATTATTTAAGATTTTAGAGTTACTGAGCAGTTTAGCAGCACACTTCACACCGTCGACAACGGCTAAGTTCATTTCATGTAGCTGTTTCCTGTAGCTACTCAAGCGCTGTTGTGGGAGTTTTTGAACTGTTATTTACTGCTTACAGATGGACACTTTTTCAACTATTCTCCTATGAGAGATTGTTCTCCTTACCTTTACGCTCCATAGCGGTGACGTCAACACTTGCGTCACGCCGCGCAATATAAGGGAAATTACTATTTTGCTTACAATTTCGAGCGGTTCATTCACCACTGTCACAGTATATCCACTGTGATTATTATATTTGATTTAAATTCAAATTCAAATTCATTTATTTGCCAGAATGTATGTGTACAATAAAGTATGATCTTAAATTATGTATAATGTCCCATTTACATTCTACCACTTTATATGGTGTGCAAATATCTGTGTGTTTAAAATGTCATATAAGTATTGTGACATTTTAGAGTGTTACAATAGTGCCAAAAACCACTAAATAAATAATTATTCTTTATGTGGGACCATACTAGCCAAATATATTGGACCAAAAACCACCGCAGTCTGTTGTAAGTATAATAATCATGATTCCAATGTATTACACACTAGGTATTCGTATCGAGATTTGATTTCATTTCATATCATACTGCCATCGGCGTGTAAAGGTTCATGAGAGTAGAGTGCATTCAAAAAAATGGTTTACCTATCTAAATTTCAAGCTACTGAACTGGAAAGGAGCATTAACAAAAGTAATTAAGAAAGTAAGAAGAAGAAGAAATTAAATAATAAACAAACAAAGAGTATTAACATCAATGGCGAGTATATCACTCACCTTCGATTTGCCAACGATATAGCTCTTATGGCAGAATCGCTGGAGAATCTAAGCACTATGCTCAATGACCTCAATAGTGTCTCAAGATGAACATGGACAAAACAAAAATCAAGTTTAATCTCCATGTCACATCTATGCCCGTAGTTGTTGGGAGCACTAAGCTCGAAGTTGTTGACGAGTACGTTTACCTGCGACAATTAGTCCGACTAGGTAAGTCCAACTTCGACCGAAAGGTCAATCGACGGATTCGACGGCCGGGCAGAAATTACGACACATCTTCTCGTCAAGTATACCTCAAAACCTGAAAACTAGATTGTACAACCAGTGCGTGTTGCCAGTGATGACTTATTGATCTGAGACGTCGTCCTTCACTGCTGGCCGTATGAGGACGCTCAAGGTCGCTCAGCGAGCTATAGAGTAGGCTATGCTCGGGGTTTCTCTGCGTAATAAACTTAGAAATAAGGATATCCGCAGTAAGTGACCGACATAGATCAACAACGGATTACTAAGCTGAAGTGGCAATGGGCCGGCCATATAGCTCGAAGAACAGACATCCGATGAGGAAAAAAAGTTCTCGAGTGGCAGCCTCGTAACCGTGGGTGTAGTATAGGGCGACCTCTAACTAGATAGAGTGACGACCTGGTAAGACTTGCAGGAAGTCGATGGATGCAGGTGGCTCAGGACCGTGCTTTGTGGCATTCCTTGGGAGAGGCCTATATTCAGCAGTGGACTTGTGAAGGGCTGTAATGATGATAATAATAATAATATTCCACAACTATCACACAACGCCATCTAGTCCCAAGCTAAGCAGAGCTTGTGTTATGGGTACTAGACAACTGATAAACATATATATTTCTAAATACATAAATATTATAGCAGAACTATCGTTCTCATCACACAAACATTTGTCCTGGGTGGGAATCGAACCCACGACCTCCGGCATAGCAGTCAGGGTCACTAACCACTAGACCAATAGGCCAGTCATGATGATGATGATGATCTCAATTTTGTAATTTTTTACATAAAATGCGGGGCTGTTCAACCTCCAGCAGCTAGTGGCCGCAATATTTGTAACATATTCTTAAAAAATGCAATAAAATGTTGTATAGTTGCAAGACTACCAAAACTCGACTCGCATTTAAAGAATGTGAATGTGTGAAATATTTCTAGCTATGCTTAGAACCTGAACTGAAAAAACTGAAAAATTTGGTATGGCTCTAAAAATATAAAAATATCATTCATACGAGGGCGGCACTGAAAATTTCGGGAATCAAGGAAGTGACTCAACATTACTATTTAAAAATGTATTTATTGCTTTTCGAAGTATTTCTTCGCGAAATTTTACACATTTTTCCATACGATGGAACCAATCATTGAAGCAACCATTCCATTCGGAAGTTGGGGTCTCTAAAATGGCCGTTTTGTAGGCGTCCACAGCTTCTTCAGGTGATGAAAATCTCTGTCCACGCAATTTATTCTTTATTTTAGGGAAAGTATAGAAATCATTAGGGCTTAGGTCGGGGCTGTACGGCGGATGGTCTAATAATTCTATGTTTTCTTGCAAAGTATGAAATTCAGCAACCCAGTGATAAATTTTTAGATGCGGCTCATCACCAAATGCAGAAATCATCCGGTCAACACACTGTTTTTGTGTTAAACCACTTCGAAAGTCATAATAAATCATCGCTCTTGAATTTTCTCGAGTCAATTCCATTTTCTCAACGACTAAACAAGTTTAACAAAACCTTGTGACAAGACCGAGAATCTTTTTTTAAATAAATAAATGGTATTCGATTTTTAAAACCAAGGAGTTTTCAATTAAAAAGATTTTAATATGACAGGAACAGTGGAAATATTCCATTCCCGATACTTTTAGTGCAGCCTATGTACACTAACAAATCTATCCAGAATTGTTTTCGGGAATCAGAATCTCGAAAATCGAGCCCGCGGCCCCTGATAGTGAGCAGTGAGTGAACACCAAATAGGTCGTTATGAGATAATTTATATTTTTTTCCAAGTTGAAAATGACTTGGTATGTTTATGTCAATTATAAACAATTACGAGGGCTGTTTAAACTTAAGAAAGGCATTACGTCTCACTAGTTTGATTGTCAAAAGCAGTTAATTGAAAACCTGTACCGTCAACGGACAAAACTTTCTACAACGGTAGAAAAACGATTAAAAGCCGAAATTATTAAGAAACTACTGAGTGAAGATGTAAGTGGAAATATTACGTCTACTTTGAGCAAGTTTAGTTCTTACTAAACTTTTCGGCCCTTTGTTGTCATGTCATGTTATATTCTTTACAAACCTACTACTTCGATAGATAAATTAATCCTTACCTTGCTGCCATAGTCACTATTTTTTAAAAAATATTGAACTATCATCAATAGGTAGTTTGTCAGATTGACCTTTTTATAGCCGACTTCAATGTTAAATTAAATAACCTTTTACATTAGATAGAAAAAAAAATTGCGGAAAAACAAGCGTGTTCGGCCGTTGCGTACGACTGATCAGTGAGAGACGCGAGGGATGTCGTCACACCACGAGCGTGCGAAATCTCGGGAATTTAAGAACCGCTTCGAAATTCTCTTAGTAATAATTTCGGATTTACTGCACGTGAAACAAAAACTAGTGTGATATGTATGTAAAATAAGCTTTCATCATCATCATCATCATCATTACAGCCCTTCACAAGTCCACTGTTGAACATAGGCCTCCCCCAAGTAATGCCACAAAGCACGGTCCTGAGCCACCTGCATCCATCGACTTCCTGCATGTCTTACCAGGTCGTCACTCCATCTAGTGGGGGGTCGCCATACACTACGCCTACCGGTACGAGGCTGCCACTCGAGAACCTTTCTTCCCCATCGGTTATCGGTTCTTCGAGCTATATGGCCGGCCCATTGCCACTTCAGCTTACTAATCCGTTGGGCTATGTCGGTCACTCTGGTTTTACTGCGGATATCCTCATTTCTGAGTCTATCACGCAGTTAAACTCCGAGCATAGCCCTCTCCATAGCTCGCTGAGCGACCTTGAGCGTCCTCATACGGCCAGCGGTGAAGGACCACGTCTAACGTCTAAAATAAGCTTTTATAATAGATAAGTATATAATGTCAAAATTTTATCTATTGATGAGGCACATAGTTAACACTACTGATTTCTATAACTTCATTGTTTTCTTTTCTTATAACCTTAGAAAATCTTAAGATTACGGTAACTAATAAATGATTACTAAGTTCAAGACTACTACAAGTGTGATATTATTATTTTATAACAATAAGTCGAATAATAATGGCGAGTTATTCGATTACTTGCCGTGGGGAATGGCAATTAATCGGTATTCGATTATTCGCTGTAACAACTATTCGCGGCATGTCTGCTAATAACGACTAAAAATAAAAATAATTGCGGTTGCCCACCTGCGTGCCAAAAGAAGCAACTATAGAAAATATTTCTCCAATCAGTAAATTTATGAGGGAGGCCTATGTTCAGCAGTTGACTTTAATAGGCTGTAACGGTAAAGGTATTGTTGCGAGCTTAGGGTTCGTGATAATAAAAACTGACACTTTAATTACTGAACACCAATTAAAACTTAAATCACACTAATAATTATTCACACTTATCACTTTAGTTCACTTTATTTCACTCCAAAAGCTTCGCTCGTATCGCCAATTCAATACTGCCCCGGTCGCGGCCTAAATGGCTTTATATACGCCTTTTCCACCGAATCATCTAGAATATTCCAGCAAATACCGACCAAGTGCAGAAAGTTCGAGTGTGGAGCTTTCTAGAAAGCTTAGTTCTTGTATTCGATACTAGGTGGTGCTAGTAGGAGAGTTCTAGAAAGACCTGGCGCTCCTATTTCTGCTGCTTGATACCAGATAGCGCTAATAATCAGCCGCCACATACCAGTCGCTAATTATAGCGCGCAACAGTATCTTCATTGTACAATAAAAAAACAAAAGATGTTTCTACCTATGTCCGTTGTAGACTTCGAAACCATCCAAATGATTTTATTGAAATTTTTTGTGTGTGTTTGAATGGGTCCCTTGAAGGTTTATATTCATATTTAGACCCGCTCTATTCATATTTAGGTAGCGCTGTTGTCGATCCAGAAATCACCCGTGCGAAGCCGGGGCGGATCTCTAGTTGTTGTAGTTGTTTTTGGTGAATGCCGGAGTTTTAGTATTGGCCTAGCCCTCTTATTAACTGGCTGAATAAAAACCGTTCCGCAATATCTACATCATTAAGCACTAGTTAGCACCAATAGTATTTTTGTAGATACGATAATATGTATAAATATAGAGCTATTTAACATTCCTTAAAGTTTACGGCTAACGAATATAATATTGTTAATTTTAAGGAGGATAGAGTGTCACCAAGTGTACGGACGGAGGGTGGAGAAAGAACAGAAAATGGACCACGACCGCCCTCAAGATCTGGCTCCTCCTCAAGTCGCTCAACACCTAAAAGTTCAAAAGATGTAAGTTACCACTTAATATAAATGTAATACTACTATTTAACTGAAGTTTGTGTACGGAACACCTTTAAATGATAGTTGATATAGGAAAAAATTATTTTATTTAAAATAAATAATGATATTATATAATGATATTGATAATGATATAGAACGCGTCTACCGTGTTCTGAGTGACAACGTCAACTGCTCAAAAACTAAAGTAAATAACGCAAATTATGTTGACCTAAATAAATCGCTTACACACTAAAATGTACGGTTGCACTTTACAGTTTGTGTCCTGAGAAGAATTTGCAACAGCAACATAAAATATTTGAACGTTTTTTGTTTTTGATGTTTTGATGTCTCTTTCAAAGCCTTTTTGTTATGTAAGATCGTTAAAGTTTATCGTCAAATTAAGAAGTGTGCCCTTTTACAGTTTAATATTTTTGTCACTTGGTAGCTGTGTTAAATGAAGAAATCAGCTCCTTATTTCGTCACAAGGGTATCGTAAGTTGCGACTATGAGGAAGGCCATAAAAACCTTGTGGCCTCCAATGGATGGTGGTATAACGATCTTGTATAAGGCAGACCCACAAACGTGAGAGGAAGCAGTGTAAAAGGTGGAAACTGGAAACAATGGGATCCATGTTTCGGTTTCTGTGTGGATTACTGTTTTTCCTTTTTTCAAAAAAAATTCCACATCTGGATGTCCACACTTACAGGCTAAAAAACAAAAAGATTTTCCATCGTGAAATATCGTAACTCTGTCCACGCCACGAAAGTTCTTAATGGCTAAAAACATGAACCAATCTATATTTATTGTTATTTCTTGGCTACATTCCCATTGAGAGCCGTGATAGCTCAGATGGTTAACGCTAGCTGTAAATATAACAGAACGCGAGTAACCCGGGTTCGATCCCCGCCGGCACCAAAGAAATTGTTAATTGCAATTTTGAGTGCTGATTTACCACGTGCTCGGCGGTGAAGGAAAACGTCGTGAGAAAACCTGCATGTCTGAGGAATAAGAAAAAAATATTTCGAAGACATGTGAAGTTCGCCAACACGCATTGGGGCAGCGCAGCGGACACTTTCTTGCCCTAAAACCCTCTCAGAAATGAGGGGAGGCCTGTGCCCAGCTGTGGGACGTATATAGACTGTAACTATACTATAACTATACATTCCCACAATATGCAACTAGACCTGGATATCCAATTATTCGTAATGTGGTATTTTACAATAGTTTTCAAAGTGTACGACACACCATCTAATTTCATTTCATAGAATACTATAATACACAATAGAATGGCTGTTCACCTAATTTTGTACGAGTGTCGGCGTCGCCGGGAGCACACATACAAGCAATTACGTCGTATTATCACTACTACCAACCCGATTCGCTGTATTGACATATTGAGTAAATTTATACATTTTAGACTTTTGATTAATGTTCAAGATCATCATTAAAGAAAAACCGTTTAAATTTTAATACATATTTATTTGTAAATAGTGTGCAATTTTGCATTTTCTAAATAATTTGCATGCGAAATTTGGAAACGATTGTAACGTCAAAACACAACTCGTATTGACATTTATGCGTGTGAATTGACATGTTAGTGACATTTTAGTGGCTACACGGGCTCCGCCCACTCCCCCGTTATATTATGTATGTATTATGTAGTATTCTATGTGTCATTTTCAGGTATTTTTATAGTAAGATATTTTGAGCGCTACTCATTGTACTGCCCTATTAAATTAAAAAGATAACAGGTTGTTTATTATTAAATAATAACACAGCGTCAATCAGTTTATTTTGAATTTTGGATTTAATCGTTTTATTTCACTTGCCTACGTCTATGTATGTCTTACTTAGGATAACAATCTGGCAATAAACCGTTAAGTATATATTTTAATGTATTTGATTGTTATCTGGTTTGTTGTCCTTATAATAAATTAATATGGCACAGTTGATTTTAAATGATTTTTCGTTCCCCTCTTTCTGTAAAAAAACTGACGAAAGCTATCGATGTTCATTTGTTAATATTGTGATTACAGGAAAAGCCGGGCACGCCTGGCGCGAAAGGACGTGCGCCAACGCCGACTGGACGCTATGCCTTCCCAGCGTACGCGGCGTACCGTGCGCCGCATCCCTACGACAACACGCATGCGCGCTCCAACGGCATGCCGCCCGCCAAGCCGTGAGTATATACCGCACACGCGCACGCACAAACGTGCACACGAATACACACGTACACGTACACACACACACACACACACACACACACACACACACACACCACACACACACACACACACACACACACACACACAAACACAAACACACACACACACACGCAAACACACACACGCATTGTAAGAGCTCTTGATTTACTACATACATTTTATGTACAATAAACAACCTGCTATCTTTTTAGGTGGTAGAGTTACGCTGCAGTTATATTAGTAGTATAGTTGTAGCACGAATGGGTGAGCTCGGCCGGGGAAAGACCACGCTCTCACAGAATACCAGCGTCAAATAGTAGCTTAATGCTGCTGTGTTTCGTATGGTGAGTGTAGAGAACCGGAGACCCTTTTTACTGGAAACGAGGCATTCCATCTTAGTCCTCACGGATGACAACGCATCTGCATTTTGATTTGTAATCGAGGATAGATATAGATGTCTATGAGCCCCAGCAACCACTTACCATCAGTTGGACTGTGTGCTCGTTTGTCATCCTATCATATAAAAAAAATGTTTTTGTCTATTATAAGTGGAGTGGAATAACTTGTTACAAATTCATAATGAATAATTATTATTGATGTGAATGTTGTGTGGGCAGGGCGTACTCGTACCACACATGCGGCGGTCCGCCGCAGCCGGTGCCGTTCCCTGCGGACGCGCTGGTGGGCGCGGGCGTGCCACGGGGCGCGCGCGCCGCCGCTGCGCTTCCGCACGGCGAGGTGGTGTGCGCCGTGGCGCTGTCGCATGCGCCCGCACGCCGCGCCTACACTGGCGGCAAGGGCTGCGTCAAGTTGTGGGACATCAGTGAGCCCGCCGCACCCGCCGCGCTCGACCCGCTCGCACAACTCGACTGCCTGGTCAGTGCAGCAGCACGCACATTATATAGTGTACAACACGCGAGGTGGTGTGCGCCGTGGCGCTGTCGCACGCGCCCGCACGCCGCGCTTACACTGGCGGCAAGGGCTGCGTCAAGTTGTGGGACATCAGTGAGCCCGCCGCACCCGCCGCGCTCGACCCGCTCGCACAGCTCGACTGCCTGGTCAGTGCAGCAGCACGCACATTATATAGTGTACAACACGCGAGGTGGTGTGCGCCGTGGCGCTGTCGCATGCGCCCGCACGCCGCGCCTACACTGGCGGCAAGGGCTGCGTCAAGTTGTGGGACATCAGTGAGCCCGCCGCACCCGCCGCGCTCGACCCGCTCGCACAGCTCGACTGCCTGGTCAGTGCAGCAGCACGCACATTATATAGTGTACAACACGCGAGGTGGTGTGCGCCGTGGCACTGTCGCACGCGCCCGCGCGCCGCGCCTACACTGGCGGCAAGGGCTGCGTCAAGTTGTGGGACATCAGTGAGCCCGCCGCACCCGCCGCGCTCGACCCGCTCGCACAGCTCGACTGCCTGGTCAGTGCAGCAGCACGCACATTATATAGTGTACAACACGCGAGGTGGTGTGCGCCGTGGCGCTGTCGCACGCGCCCGCGCGCCGCGCCTACACTGGCGGCAAGGGCTGCGTCAAGTTGTGGGACATCAGTGAGCCCGCCGCACCCGCCGCGCTCGACCCGCTCGCACAGCTCGACTGCCTGGTCAGTGCAGCAGCACGCACATTATATAGTGTACAACACGCGAGGTGGTGTGCGCCGTGGCGCTGTCGCACGCGCCCGCGCGCCGCGCCTACACTGGCGGCAAGGGCTGCGTCAAGTTGTGGGACATCAGTGAGCCCGCCGCACCCGCCGCGCTCGACCCGCTCGCACAGCTCGACTGCCTGGTCAGTGCAGCAGCACGCACATTATATAGTGTACAACACGCGAGGTGGTGTGCGCCGTGGCGCTGTCGCATGCGCCCGCACGCCGCGCCTACACTGGCGGCAAGGGCTGCGTCAAGTTGTGGGACATCAGTGAGCCCGCCGCACCCGCCGCGCTCGACCCGCTCGCACAGCTCGACTGCCTGGTCAGTGCAGCAGCACGCACATTATATAGTGTACAACACGCGAGGTGGTGTGCGCCGTGGCGCTGTCGCACGCGCCCGCGCGCCGCGCCTACACTGGCGGCAAGGGCTGCGTCAAGTTGTGGGACATCAGTGAGCCCGCCGCACCCGCCGCGCTCGACCCGCTCGCACAGCTCGACTGCCTGGTCAGTGCAGCAGCACGCACATTATATAGTGTACAACACGCGAGGTGGTGTGCGCCGTGGCGCTGTCGCACGCGCCCGCGCGCCGCGCCTACACTGGCGGCAAGGGCTGCGTCAAGTTGTGGGACATCAGTGAGCCCGCCGCACCCGCCGCGCTCGACCCGCTCGCACAGCTCGACTGCCTGGTCAGTGCAGCAGCACGCACATTATATAGTGTACAACACGCGAGGTGGTGTGCGCCGTGGCGCTGTCGCACGCGCCCGCGCGCCGCGCCTACACTGGCGGCAAGAGCTGCGTCAAGTTGTGGGACATCAGTGAGCCCGCCGCACCCGCCGCGCTCGACCCGCTCGCACAGCTCGACTGCCTGGTCAGTGCAGCAGCACGCACATTATATAGTGTACAACACGCGAGGTGGTGTGCGCCGTGGCGCTGTCGCACGCGCCCGCGCCGCGCGCCGCGCCTACACTGGCGGCAAGGGCTGCGTCAAGTTGTGGGACATCAGTGAGCCCGCCGCACCCGCCGCGCTCGACCCGCTCGCACAGCTCGACTGCCTGGTCAGTGCAGCAGCACGCACATTATATAGTGTACAACACGCGAGGTGGTGTGCGCCGTGGCGCTGTCGCACGCGCCCGCACGCCGCGCCTACACTGGCGGCAAGGGCTGCGTCAAGTTGTGGGACATCAGTGAGCCCGCCGCACCCGCCGCGCTCGACTCGCTCGCACAGCTCGACTGCCTGGTCAGTGCAGCAGCACGCACATTATATAGTGTACAACACGCGAGGTGGTGTGCGCCGTGGCGCTGTCGCACGCGCCCGCGCGCCGCGCTTACATCGGTGGCAAGGGCTGCTTCAAACTGTGGGACATCAGCGAGACCGCCGCGCTCGAAATGCTCGCGCAGCTCGATTGCCTGGTCAGCCCCGCAGCACACAGCACGCACAGTACATAGTGTGCTCTGTCGCACAAAGCCCCAACTCCAGAAGTTATTATGTGGAAATTATCTTTTGTGTATTATCTAAGTTAAATTACTATAGATTTTATTTTTATAGGATTTTGTAGAACAATCCAGTCGATGGTAAGGGTTTTCTATAGCCCATAGACATCAAATATTTCTATGGCCTACAAGTAAGATTTAAATTTGGATGTTTGTCCTTGTGCGATTTATGTATGTTAACTACCTCCACGATACTGGAGAAAATTCTAAATATCACTCCGAATTTTCCAGTTTATGTCGTTTGTCGCTGATTTTTTTCGTTGGTTACTTGTTTTGACGTATTTTTTCGTGTTTCGGCAGCAACGAGACAACTACATCCGGTCGGTAAAGTTGCTGCCGGACGGGCGGACGCTGATTGTGGGCGGCGAGGCGTCTAACCTGTCCATCTGGGACTTGGCGTCGCCCACGCCTCGCATGCGCGCAGAGCTCACCTCCTCGGCGCCCGCCTGTTATGCGCTCGCCATCAGCCCCGACTCCAAGGTACTCATCCTATCAAACGTACGAACGCACGCACACACTACACAAATTGGACACACACACACACACACACACAAACACACACACACACACACACACACACACACACACACACACACACACACACACACACACACACACACACACACACACACACACACACACACACACACACACACACACACACACACACACACACACACACACACACACACACACACACACACACACACACACACACACACACACACACACACACACACACACACACACACACACACACACACACACACACACACACACACACACACACACACACACACACACACACACACACACACACACACACACACACACACACACACACACACACACACACACACACACACACACACACACACACACACACACACACACACACACACACACACACACACACACACACACACACACACACACACACACACACACACACACACACACACACACACACACACACACACACACACACACACACACACACACACACACACACACACACACACACACACACACACACACACACACACACACACACACACACACACACACACACACACACACACACACACACACACACACACACACACACACACACACACACACACACACACACACACACACACACACACACACACACACACACACACACACACACACACACACACACACACACACACACACACACACACACACACACACACACACACACACACACACACACACACACACACACACACACACACACACACACACACACACACACACACACACACACACACACACACACACACACACACACACACACACACACACACACACACACACACACACACACACACACACACACACACACACACACACACACACACACACACACACACACACACACACACACACACACACACACACACACACACACACACACACACACACACACACACACACACACACACACACACACACACACACACACACACACACACACACACACACACACACACACACACACACACACACACACACACACACACACACACACACACACACACACACACACACACACACACACACACACACACACACACACACACACACACACACACACACACACACACACACACACACACACACACACACACACACACAAACACACAAACCCACGCACGCACACACGCACGCACGCACGCACACCTGCTCCGCGCTCGCCATGGTGGATGGTGATCACTTTCGCCATCCAATAACTTACAAGATGCTTCATTTATTAACTGTCTTCAAAAACGAGGAGGTTCTCAATTCGAGTGTATGTTTTTTATATTTTAGCAGATTGTCAATCGTTTTTAATAATTCTTGTTTTATTAAATAAGCTTTACCTTAAGGATAGTCCCGTTAAATTATGATGAAAAAATTGCGCCTCAAGGGTGGAAAATAGGGGGACAAGTTTCATATTGGACTATTGTTTATGGAATTTTATATGATATCTTCGTAGATAAAGAAACGATTTTAATGATTATTTTTTTCTTAAATAAGTTATACTTCAAGGGTGGCCCCAAAGAGTTGCCAATAAATAACTTCCTTTTTAGCAATTTGACGTCGATTTTTTATATTTTGTTAAAAGTTATAATTATATAAATTATATAAAAATATAAATTATATATATTTTTTACATTTTGTTAAAATAGGCTTCTCCCATAGATTGCCTCACAGGGGGGATAGTGCTATAGTTGCCACGCTTGGCTTGCGGATTGGCAACAACAGTTATTTATTATTTTGGGGTGTTATCATGAAGGTGCTGCTGCCCGCGCACCTCCTGCTTCATTTCCCTCTGGCACTGCTTACGACACGTTCGAGGTGATATGGGGTGGTGAATATTATTATACCGCCACTACGCAGTTCACAGCTTAATTTATAGTTTGTACAATCCTATCAACACTTAACTTCAGATTGATTTTAAATTAACATAATAAGTGTTTTTTTTAATTAAAGAATGTATTTCGATTTTGGTGGAACTATCGATTCCTAACAGAAAAAGATAACTACGTGGGAAATTCGAAATGACAGTAGCCTAATGGCAGGGCGCGGGCGCGGGCAGGACCGCGAACTCAAAAGGTTGCGGCATCGAATCCACCATTCGACTACTGGCGTGAATCACTCCTAACACAAGCATTTTCAGCTTACCAGGGGTGATTAAAGGGAATATTAGTAATGGTAATTAATAGGATTACTAATATTATAGTAAAATATAAATATATATTATTCCGTTTACCGTATAATTAAGCGTAAAGCAAAAGTTGTCATTCGTCCTAACCTTTTGTACAGTGGCGTAGCTAGGGCTCGAAACTAGGGCAAGCCCAAGATATGGTTTTGTTGTTTTTAGCAGTTTAATAAAAATACACCAATCTTGAGCTGTCTCCACTTTTTAGTTTCATAATCAGTGCTGACAAGGACGTGTTTAACAAAGCACACAGAAAGCATACTACCGCTAGATAGATTGTATGACATAATATGCAATTGCACACCTTTGGTGGTTTTGAAAAGAGCCGTTTGGGTTTGCTTGAGATATTTACAAACGATACAATACATGAACAAAGTACAAACAAACTATGTACAAAGTTAAAAAAGATGGAAATAACTAAAGGGAGTACTATTCTTTAAAAACCTCAATACATTCTTCTGTATTCTTTTGATTTATTTAATTAAAATTTGGACTTTACGTTAAAAATAGATTGTAACACTTATTTCCTCTAAAATTAAACCTAGGTCTCATACTTTATGCTGATGTTCAAATTGATATTTTTAATTCGTATGGTGATATGAATATTGAGTTATTAAACCTTTAAATACGCCTAACTTAATTAAACTTTAACACTAAAGAGTCCTGTACCTATATTTAAAGTATGAAGCAATGTTTATTGAATATTAAATTTCATTTTTAAAGATTTTTACCTTTTCTTCGCCGATTAGCACTTCAACACACTTATATTCATCACAATGAACACTATTATCCTCGCATTTTCACTGAAAATCTTCGAAAAAGCATAAATTTTTAACAAACACAACAAAAACAAACATAAACATTGAAATGTGAAGTGAACTTGCATACGAGGGGCCCGCAACCACTTCGCTAGTCGCTAACGCACTCCTAAACAACTTCATGGCAAAGCCAGGCTTGTTGGCTCAATAGTAATTGCTATATAAACATTTCATAGTTATATTTCATTATAGAATATTTTGCCATAGGTTAGAAAGAGAGCGATCGTCTTCTCGAAAGCCCCGTAAAAAGCCCACGCGAACGAGGGAGACAACTAATCGCTCTATTAAAACTCACTTTATGACAGCAGCAGTATCGCCACAAAGTACCTTTGTATAAACGTATCGCTAAGGCAATACGAGGTCATCGGTCGACATGTGTCGAACAGTGGAGTGCGCGGGAAAATTGAAATAATTTGAAACAGTTTAGGAGTTATTTTATTAGTTGATATTATTGATTGATTCAGTTTTAATAAGGCAAGCCCGGCTTTTCGGTTTTAATAGAAGCTACGCTGCTTTTATATCCAATGCAACATATTCAAATGGCAAATGGCTTCTATGGCAAAATAGAAGGTCGATAATATCAGAATATTAGAAATATAATACAACTAGAATATAAAAACTACTACTAATAGTAACTGACTATTATTCAAACCCGTGACATGTAATTCAGTCTATCAATCAGATACTTGAATATTAAGGTGATGAACTATACTATGTACTGAGTGAACTACTTTAAAGCATAGTTCTAAATCGTTTGTTTTTATTTCAGGTGTGCTTTAGTTGCTGTTCAGATGGCAACATAGCTGTTTGGGATCTCCATAATCAAACATTAGTTAGACAATTTCAAGGTATGTTATTAAGGTAAATGTGTATCATCTAGTTACTGCGTCTAGTGACGGCGTAACAAAATATCACCTCATCTCGTCCTATGGGTGGTGTAAGAGGTGATTATGGGAAACATCAAGAAGAAGACTTCATGGCTTCTGATAGGTGGCAGTATAATTATAATCTATATACTGATATAATATATATGTATGTATAGACACCAGGTTATTTTGCAACAACCTGCCAAATTTGCATAGAAGGTTCAATATATAGGTATATATTGGCAAATGGTGAAGAGTAATTAATTAAAAAAAATCTCAAACATTCTGTCCTATTTATGTTTTAAATTCAAAATGCGTGGTAATGCACTATTTTAACTGCTTTTACTGCGCAACACACATTCGTGAGGGTCGATTGGTAGGCAAAAACGTTGTTGCCTATAAATCACATTCTATTTGGCATATTTTGAAATAAAAGTAGAACTCTTACTCATATTTTCAAAAAATGCAATAATGCTATGTCATTATTTATATATTTGAACTTAAGTTTAAAATTTGGTTACTCGTTGAAAAATAACCCTGTATATTATATATATTACTTTTATACTACAGATGTGTTATACAAAATATCTAAATACTTCAATATTTTTTAAAGTGCGAAACGTCTTGTACTCTGTCTGGTTCGAAAATTCATCTGACAAGCATTTTGAGGAGAGAATTTGTCAAATCGTGGCTTGTTTGCAAGCTATATAATTAGTAGAAGGAGGGGGTGTGGTAAAGAATTTTGCACTTTATATCACCCTGCGGATAACGCAAAATTGGTAAAAGAGATAGTAGTATTTTCTCTTTACGGAGAAGTCTGTTGGGGTAGGTCCTTTCTTATGTATTTCTGATATCAAGCAAGGTACACATTGTGTGCCTCAGTTAAAAGGCAACGGGAGAGTTCATATAATTAGCTGTTTTGAATCAAAATTATGGTCCTCTTAGTTTGACGTTGGTTACAGGTGTTCATGTGTATATACTCTTTCGTATCTTGGATGTCAGAAGCAAAAATAAAGAATTACACACATGTTCTCGAAAAATTATCAAATTCTTAAACATGCTTGTTTCCTCACGAATATTTTCTTCACCGCTGAGCACGTCAACAGCACTTAATTCCAATTAACTTCATTAGTGCCGTCGAGGATAGAACTCATGATGCTCGCCTAGTATAAAATTTAAGGATTAAATTAAAATTTATTATTTTACATAGTCCACAAATGACCTTCGGTGAATGGTGTGTTACGCAAATTATGATGCGTATAGTTGTGTATCAGCTAGAGTATGCGAGTGCCAATGTGTGCTGGTGCGTATCAACTAATGCCGGTGTGTACCCATGCGTTTTGGTGTGTGTCTACCCGTGCCAGTGCGTATCAGCCAGTGGCAGTGCGCGTCGGTTCGTATCGGCGTATCCAGCTAGTATCGGTGCGTATCGGTGCATACCGGCTAGTGCCGCTACGGTGGTACTGTGTGTAACGGTGCGATGCGCAGGGCACACGGATGGCGCGTCGTGCATCGACATCAGCCCGGACGGCACGCGGCTGTGGACGGGCGGGCTGGACAACACGGTGCGCTCGTGGGACCTGCGCGAGGGCCGCCAGCTGCACCAGCACGACTTCTCCAGCCAGATCTTCTCGCTCGGATACTGCCCCACAGGTATTACCTCAAACCATTGGAACATATTTTGAACTTCACCCGATACAAAAATATTCATTATTTATTGAATATTGAATACTTGACACCTAAATACCTTATATTACATATTGTGCACTATTTTTTTTTGTTTGAAAAACACCGCTTTCATTTTATTAAACCTTCAAACACCAAAATAGCAGTTTTTTGTATAGAATAAGGGTGTGCTTGCACACAGTCCCCCTTTTGGTATGTGGATGCTGTGGCCCATAAACATCTACATTTATACACAGTTATGAATCAAAATGTAGATTCGTTGCTATCCCTCAGGATTAAGATGGAACAACTCATTTTCAGTAAAAAAGTCTCCGGTTGTCTACACTCTCCAAATGAAACGCACCATTTTATTTTAGTATTCTGTGAAAGTGTGGTCCCTTCTCCAGTCAAGCCGACCCATTCGTACTACAAGCATACTATAGCTGCAATGTGGCTTTACCACATATTAAATACTACTACATTCATACTAAATCAGTTATTATAAGGAAACTGTATTTGTTAAAATATTGAAATGTTATTATATTTTTTATATCTTCTTATAATGTTGACAAATTATGTTAATTACGGCACATGTTAATTAATTATGGCATGGCATTATGCGATTACCTTAACCGATCGGCCATCCCGTCGACCTCAAGTATTATTATTTTCGCCTTAAGAACGTATGACTATATATCCTAACATCGTTTTAAGCTGAAATGATTCCCTATACGTTGAAAACTAGAATTTTACTGGCACTATCTCATAACTTAAGAAAGGCTGTGTAGTAAAAAAAACAATGGTCGTCGCCTAATGATGACTTCAGTTGTCAGTTGTCAGTTGTCGAACTGTCATATTTTGCTGGCGATGTTGTCGAATGGCGCAACGGCATGGGAAGTGGGAAGTGTGTGGTAACGCGTGGGCACCGTGCGCAGGGTCGTGGCTGGCGGTGGGCATGGAGAACTCGCAGGTGGAGGTGCTGCACTGCGGCAAGCCGGACCGCTACCAGCTGCTGCTGCACGAGTCGTGCGTGCTGGCGCTGCGCTTCGCCGCCTCGGGCCTCTGGTTCATCTCCACCGGCAAGGACAACCTGCTCAATGCCTGGCGCACGCCCTACGGCGCCAGCATCTTTCAGGTACGCACGCATCCATCTACTTACAGTTCACACACACCAGGAGGACATCCACCACTTAGGAATGAGGTAAAATATTTGACACATTACATAGTGGCTGTTCATATAGTCAAGTTAATTTGTTAGAAAAGTGGAAAGATTAATGTTTCTTTCTAAAATATTAGTTGTATTTACTATTTAATACTAATTAGATTAGAAATGGATAAAACTGACGTTGAAATATGTATAAAGTTAAGTTTCATTATTAACCAAAAAACTTATTTAAAACTTGACCATCTATCTAACCCAACTAGTGATGTCTCGTTAGCGTAAGATTACTTTTGCTTTCTCACACATATTAAATTCAACACAAACTAGTAATATAATCATATAAAGGCATCTAGAGCCACTGGTATTTTCGTTTCATAGCTGCACTGCATATATTTTTTTTTAAATAAATTTTATCTTATTTAAATAATACATTCACAGTAAAGATATCATCAGATCAGGAAAAGTTAATTCACATACTTATTCTTCGTCTTGGCATCAATGTCTCATATTATGCTTGTGTATTAAGTAGGGATGTAACGATACATAAATGTGCCGATACGATACCGATACCGATTATAGTAGTAAATAATCTTTGATACTGATACCAATTATTGTAGTAAATAATCTTCGATACCGATACCAATACCTTTATCGGTGTTTGAGTAGAAATAGAAAAAAGAAACAAATAATGAATAATTTTCTTTGTTATGCATAAAAGTTACCTTTATTTATTAGAAACTGAACCTTCCGGAGGTAGAAACCAAAATGTCAAATCAATAGTTCAATACCAAAATTCAAAAACATTTATTTATTAATATAAAATTTAAATTAGTAGCAGATAATCTGTTACGCAAATCAATTTGAAAGAGACCTGCAGTTGAAAACAGAGACTCTGAGGCAACTGAGCTGAACTAGAATGTTGTTGTCGCGCGCACGTTGTTCGTTCCGTGCGCTTTTCAAACTCTTGTAATCAGTTGTATATAATCGGCGATTTCGAAATATCGGTCTGCCGATTATATCGGCTGATACATCTTTATCGGTATCGGAATCGTTACATCCCTAATGATAAGATTTCTAATATGAAATCTTTTATACTTTTTATTGAAAAAATTATATTTTATAATATATTGAATAAATTATAAATATATAGAATTATAATCTTTAAATATCTATTTAATTATTTTTTTCAGTCAAAGGAGTCTTCATCGGTGCTTAGTTGTGATATATCGTCGGATGATAAGTACATAGTGACAGGCTCTGGAGACAAGAAGGCGACAGTGTATGAAGTGATATATTAACTCTGAAGTGATAATCTCATTAGGCAAAATGACTGACTGTGTTCTTGACATGTGGTCCAGTGAAGTGTGATTTAGAAGAGATGTGGCAGATTAAAGTGTTATTTCTAAGGATTTAATTACTTGGTTGTAATGTACATATGTATAATAATCAAGCTGTCTGATTTTGATATGTAAGGAACAATGTTATATAGTGTACTATACATACATGTTTGTGTTTAAATCTTAAGTACCTGGAAGACCGAGCATTGCTTGGCGTTGGCGAAAAAATATTTTATTCACGGATGAAACCATAGAATATTATAATTACATATATAATAGAACGGGGGAGTGGGCGGAGCCCGTGTAACCACTAAAATGTCACTAACATGTCAATTGACATGTATAAATGTCAACACAAGATGTATTTTGACTTTACAATCGTTTCCATATTTCACATGCAAATTATTTAAAAAATGCCAAATTGCACGCTATTTACAAATAAATATGTATTAAAATCTGTCTGTCAACACAGCAAATCGGGTTGGTAGTAGTGATAATACTACGTAATTTCGATAGTGTGTGTACTCCCGGCGACGCCTATCGTCGTACAAAATAATTCTATTGTGTATTATAGTATTCTATGGATGAAACTTATATATAGATAAACATGGAAATTAAAACATTATTGAAATACAAAATTTAATCCAAATTGCTAGAGCCATTTCCGAGAAACCAATTACACAATATTTACATATATACAAGTACAAGAATTGCTTTTTTTAATGAATTTACATAAAATATACAATATTTATTATAATAACTAAAAACTAAAATTATCGTGCAGTCCTTCATCCAGTGGTATAGTGCCAAGACTGCTGGCTGGGTTTTCTCGCTGAATATACTCAGTTTTTGAGTGGGAAAAGTTAACAAGTCTCGGGTACACTTCCTTTAGGAAATTCGCTGCATGTGGACTCTACAGACCGATAGTTTCCACAGCAAATACCACAAATATGTAGGCATCTATTAGAGACTTATATTTATGCCTGAGATAAGATCTCACACTGAGGCTTTGTCTGTTTCCCAAGGAACCAAAGTTAAACTGTTGGATCTCTAAAATCAAATGTGTATTTACGAGAAGAGCCCTTCACCTGCTACCACAAACGAAACAACTAGAACGTAGCAGGCCTGATCTTGGTCACTATAGAACTGCTCACATCAAGTATAGGATAAGTATCAAAATGAGCACCAATTAAATTTAGTGAATGCAGTTAGGTGTTTATTTCTGTACAAGTAATCAATTGTACAATATTGACCACATAACTGTTTTTTCCTTTTCATTATAAATTTTGAAAAATTAGATATAAATTTTTTTAATGAATTAACATATTTAATCTGTCATGCTCTAAATGTTTGAGATAAAGTTGATTGCTAAATTACCAGTTTATATATAATAAATTAACTTTATTATATATAAACTGGTAATATAAATTTTTATTAAAGTACTCAATAACATTAAATGTATGTCATCAAAATCTGAAACTTTATAATGAAAATGAAATAATCCTTTAAAATTTTAAGCCTACTATTATTTCATTGATTGATCATATTGTTTAATTAATTAGCACAATCAACTTCATCTCTGATATGAAATTTATTGCAACAAGTGGTTTAGATATGTGTCAATAATTTATTTTTAGTGACCCGATCACTCAAGTATTGATTTTTCTTACGAACACTGTCATTCATGTCTATCATTTGAATGAATTATTTCGAGCTTAATTGCAATCATCAATGTTTTGTATTAATATTTCTAATGAACGAAGCATTCGTGATTGATACATATCTAAAATAAATCAGTGTTGCACTGTTAATCTTGGATAATTTTAGTGTTATTGTATATTTTTATATCGAGATTTGAAAATAATATTATTTACTAAGTTAAATATAGTTACATCGGTCCATTTCTTTTTAGTATTTATTGCGACTGCAGATCTATTTCTAGGTCAGACTGAATTTTTACTCTTGAATAGTGTAATAATCTACATATCTTATTCATAAATCATTACCAGAATATTGTTGCACCCTTTCAATATTATTTGCCTCAGGTGCGTTCAATTTTCAGTGTTATGTTAACTTTGTAAGATGCTAATATCATTACATTAGTTTTGCTACATTGTATATATGAAAAGGTCTAACCAAACACTACAGATTTGGTTAAAATGATAATAGTTTTATATAAATGTAAATTTTAAAGCTGTTTTGTTTTTATATTCGAATATAAAGTGTCTTACATTATTAGGTTCTCGTAACGCGAAATTTTATGATAATGAAGGATGAAGACTTACAGTTGTTTTGTTAAATTAGTTATATTTTGCAATATATCGCCAAAATGTATTATTTCATTTATAAAACATTACAAATTGAATCAGTTTCCGTCCAGATATTTTCATTTTAATTCCAGATTGACCCAACAAAAATATACCTACTTTATTTAACTAAAAATGGTATCTTAATTTCTACTCTTTTATACGTGGTAGAGCCATACTGCAGTTATATTAGTAGTATAGTTGTAGCACGAATGGGTCGGCTCGACCGGAGAAGGACCACGCTCTCACAGAATACCACCGGGAAATAGTAGCGTAACGCTGCTCTGTTTTGTATGGTGAGTGTAGAGACCAGAGACCCTTTTTACTGGAAACTAGGCATTCCATCTTAGTCCTCACGGGTGACAATGCATCTGCATCTTGATTCTTAATCGAGGAAAGATGTAGATGTCTATGGGAAACAGCAACTACTTACCGTCAGGTGGACTGTGTGCTTGTTTGTCACCTTATCCTACAAAAAAACTGGTTCTTTTATACCAGCATACACTATTTAATAAATTATTAATAAAACCTATATAATAAATAGAATGTTTTTAAAATAATTTAAAATTGTTTGTTTCAAAAACTGATTAGAAAATTAATATGTTTATTAAAAATTCGGAATAAAGTGTATTTTCAAAAAGTTTAGTGCAAAGTGGTTAGCAGATGTTTACATGTGGACTGCAGCCATATGAGGGTACAATACATTTAACATAAAATGCTTATCTCTGTGCTTTCTCTTACGAACGGCTATCAAAGAAATTCGCACTAAGGTTTATAAATCACAATCGAATCCTGATTTCAACAGCTAGAGCTTTTGTGGGAAGAGTTCCAAATAAATTTTCGTGATTGATACCCCTCTTTATATCATGAAAATAAGATACGTCGGAAATAAAGATCGTTCGAAATTTCGCTTAACGTGTTTTCTGTATTAAAAAATCTAAGACCTGTTAGAACTACTATTAACCATGCTGTGATTGGTGTGGGCTGTCTTAAAACATAACCTTGTAAGAGTAACCGAGGTTGAAGAAAAGAACTAATTTTCCATTTAAAAAAATTACAATTTTTTTTTAATTCAGCTCTTAGCTACAATTCCACCTGATGGTAAATGGTGGTGTAGCCTAAGATGCTGAAGCGCACTGACTTAACAAAAACCTATACATTCTTGCCTTGGAAGACACCTACAATGTAATCGGATTGAAAGACAGATGCTGGCGATTTATTCCACTCATGCTGTACTCATTATGAACGACGTAGTAACGTACCGTTTGGTTCGAATGCATGGTACAGTCAGCGTCAAAAGGAAGGTGGCAGTCAAGGTGATCAAATACTTAGAGACATCCAAAGTGATCAATAATATTTAACCATCCGAAGTAGGCAAATTTTTGTGATCACAATTCTTGCTCAAATATATCGGAATACATACGTCAAATACATGATTTCAGTCAAACCATCCATACAGTAACAAACAAAACGTCAATGGTAGCAAAGCAGTTAAAGGACTAAAAAATGCGGGACACAACAGGTATTGGGTGTAATTTATTTTGCACTAAGTTTTATTAAAAAATATAAATTATAAATTATACTTCATATTAAATTATCAATGTTCCTTTTAATACAACTCTGTATTATTACTTCGCTTGCTCTTATTTTATGCCTGATGTCATTGACATGTTTAGTTTATTTTTATAAAATCATTTATGATGTTAATGTGTTGTAATTGTTAGACTTCCTGTAAAGCTCTAAACATTTAGTTACGATAATTGATTTGGCTTATTTTTAAACAACAATACAAGGAAAATAAGTTTATTTGTGGGAATTTTCTATGAGTACCTATCAAAGAAATTAATTATCTTCAATCCCTTAAGTAGAGCCAAACTTAGCCATCTTTGTCCTTATGTGGCTCTCCCAGTAGATAACATTGGAAACGAGATAGTGAAATTAGAGAGAAATAAAGAGTTATATTTTGAAAACAATAAGTATTTTTGAGTCAAATAAGTATATATTCAGTAATAGAAATTTATCATCAACAACATCATCATCAGGTATTTCAGTATTTAACATATTATCTTTCTATTGACTGGAATACGTCATTAACCTATTGAGAATTGCAGTTCAGACAATATGCACTTGAGACTGTACCCTGGCCTAGTCCTTCGGTGGGTCAGGGAATTATTTTGTTGTCTGTCAGAAAGAGAAGGCGTTTTACGTAGGTATGTTATGGATCCTTTTAACCTAAAATGATTTTGTAAATATAAACACACGTTCCGTATATTATTAATATTTTTATAAAACATTGCGTCTTCTTTTTGTGTAAGGAAGGAAATACGATGAACCTAAATTCTAATTTCGCTGGCACGGATGAAATTGCTCAATTCAAGTCTTTTAAAGCATATAATTCGCATTTAATTACATAATGCATTATTTCCGTTCTATCACTAAAAACACAAGGGTGAAAACTGGCAGCGATCACCGAATGGTTAGAGGCACATTGAACCTAAACGTTATGTTGGAGAGGTCTAGTCTAATGAAGTCAACGCTCCGTCCCCCTCGTGCTCTAATCCAGAATACCGAAACCTTTCAGCTCGAGTTACGTAAACGCTTTCAGTGCCTACAAGATTGCAATGCAGTGGACGATATGAATGACAAGCTCGTGGA